TTTTTTTTTTAAGAAAATGCATAAATTGCATTAAAATGAAAAAGAAGAAAACCTAATACAAACTAGGCAACAGAAGCTAATGATCCCTTTTTCAACAAGAAAAAAGGACCTTATTAAAAATAAATTTGTTAGTTTAAACTTATTATAAATGTAATGAAATCCACCATCTCCTATTTTGAAACTGTTGAGATGCAAGGGATACCAAAATATAAGACAACCCGAGAGTTGATTAGTATCCCAGAGTTCCCATCCAGATAGAGAATTAGAATTAGTAAAGATCTCATAAACATTTAGGCAAAGTTTAAAATAACAAATTAAACTAAGGAAAAGGAAATGAAAGCTAAAAATAAAATAACTGTTCAATAATAAATTCCAAAAGTTTGGTATAATTATGCCAAACTTTAGGATCAAATGCTCCTTCTTCAAAAATATCTCTGTTTTGTTGCTATCCACGGGAGAATCCTTCTTCATATTAGTGAACAGGGAAGAAGAACCTTTCAAACCGTTCTTCTCTTTGTGTTCAGCCATCTTCCTTCTAGGTAGTTCTTTAACCGGTCTCAATGCTTGAAGTTCTTTGAATAAAGCATGCTTAGAACCGGGGGAAAACTTCTTAAAAAGGTTTTTATCTTTTTTAAGAATAGTTTTTTTTTGAAATTCAAACTAATAGCTGATGGAGGAGAAGAAGAATCATTGATTGTAGTATGAGTGTAATTACCTTTTACATTAGCATCAGCCGCCAAAGATGTTGAGGGTTCAAAATCTATTTTGTGAGATCCCAAAAATTCAGCATCAAGAGGAGATTCGGTAGCCTTCAAACCTGAAATTTGAACTTCCTTCTTAACAGCCTCCAAAATTTGTGGAATTTTAAATTTTAAATCTGTTTGTTGGAGAGAAATCTGGATTTAGAACCTCAACATCCTTTGGATAAAACAAATAATCTTTTGAATTTCGAGAAGCAGCTGCCAAATCTTTTGAGGGTTCAAAATCTGTTATGAGAGCTCCCACTAATACAGCTTCATGTGGAGATTCAGCATCCTTTATAGGAGTCAAACCCGAGATATGTTCATCCTCCTTTTCAGGAATTTTAATTTTCAAAGCTGAGTTAGTTGGAGAGAAAGCCATCTCATCAACCTTAGGATTTGAATTTTGAACAGAATTTGATGTTACCGAAATTTCAGGAACAGGATTTTTTGAACTTTCAAAATTATAATTCTGAATGTTCAAATTTTCAGCAATTTCAATTTCCATCTCATTGGGTTCTACTAACAAACCATTATCCATATTATCCATATCAGCCAAAGCTTTAAATGGGTTTGATTCAAAATCCCGAGAACCAAGTTGGTTCATGCTGACTTTTAAATTCTGGTTAACCACCTCTTCATCTCCTTCCTTGAATTCAGCATCTTCTTCAATTTGATTTGCAGCTTCCACTGGTTCGGACATCATTTTGAGCTTGTTTTCATCTACCAAATTTTGTACAATTTCTTCTGGTTCAGCAAGAACAATATCTTCACTTATGCAACCCATTCCAGATTTTTCTACTGCAGAAAAAATCTTGGATTTCAATTGATTTCTCACTGGTTTCTTCTTGTTTTTGAATTTGACTTGCATCCAAGGACCATAAATATTATCATTCTGATTTGAAATGGAAGGGATTTCTCCAACATTAGGACAAACTGAATCAATATGCCCTATTCTCCCACATTTAAAACAAAGCGATGAAAGATTTTCATATTCAAACTTTTGAAAGAATCTTCCATGCAACCCTTCAACCCATATTCCAGAAGGGAGTTTAGAGTTCAAAATTAACTCTAATGCAGGCTCTAGCAAATTCTCTTTTTCCCAACCTAAACATATTACCATCAAATAGTAATGGAGTCCCAATTCTAGAGATAAGTCTAGTGATATTGGACTCATCCCAGCAGTGAAGGGGTAAATGAGGAAGACGAACCCAGATTGGAGATGAAACTTCTTCCAATGAATTAGAAGAAAAGTTAGGAGACCATTTGTCTAACCCAACAGCAAAACCCCAAACAAACCATGGACCTCTATTAAGAACTTCTTCCATGGCTTCATGAGTTTGAAAAGAACAAAGTAACCAATCTAATCCGAGAATGGTTAAATGGAATCCTCCATATTTCTGCCATTGTTTTCTTAACTCGATGGCACATTTAGAGAAGGGTAAATCTTTCTCAAGAATTTTAACAACCAAAGATTTACTTAAAACTTGAATATTAGATTTTTCCATATCCATATCCAATTTAACAATGTTTAAATCTTCAACCTCATCAAGATCTTTATTCCAATTAATTTTAATGTGTGGTTTTTTAATCCACACATTAGAATTATCAAAATTTGAAGAAATAATTGGATTATTGATATTGACTTTAGCCTTGTCAATCTCCTTGTCTTTTTTGAAAATATCAACAAAACTACTCCTTGAAGAAGAAGCTTCTTTGTCATTTGCTCCAAAAAAAAAAAAAGAAATCAGTGGAGGAGATTTAGGTAACTTGAAGGAAGTCAAAATTACCTCTTTCCCTTTACTTGAATCCGGCAATGGCTTATGTTTAGCCATAAAACCTCCCTCTTTGATAACTAGAGGAGATTCTAAAACACGAATTGAAGATTGTGAGGTGAGATGCGTTTGAAGGAGAATCTACCTTCTGAATCCAACATAATTGGACTCGCGATAGATATAATGGATTTGGTGTTCCCGTCATCCATAGATGACCGGCCACCTTCTACCATCTCCAAACTATGCACCCGAAATCTTCAAACTCTCTTTCCAAATCCTTCCTTGAATTGTGGAGCTTCTCTCTCTTCTCTTTGGTCGTGCACTTTCATTCAAGGAAATTTGCTTGGCGGATTTATAAAAAGGAGCATATTTTATGTTTAAATTAGTCTACATAGCGTATTAGAGAAAAAATTTAAAAAGGAGTAAATACGGATTTTAATTATCCGGTTTCAAAATCTTTTGAAACTGTAACTTTGTTATCCTGTTTTTGATTTCTATTGAATTTGGAACTTCATTATCCGGTTTCTATTGAAATCGAAATTCCATTCAAAGGTTTCTTTAAAAAAAATTATTTCAAAAGAAACCAGTTTCTTAATAATATTTTTTTCAGAAATGGTAGTGAGAGAGAGAAAGTTCTTCATTGGTTCGAATTCCTAGAGAGAGAAGTTCTGGTGCAAATTCTAGAGAGAGAAAGTTCTTCGTTGGTTCGAATTATTTTTTTCACGGGTTTTCAGCGGCTGAAGGTTTTGCGTCAGATGATCGCCGGCGGTGAATAATCGATGGGTATGACTGCTCCACGACCATCTAGCCCTCTACGGGTCGATGGTAGAGGATCGAATGGTGTTGTGAATAGAGAAAGAATTAAATCGGTTAATTGTCAATAACATGTTGAAGGAAAGGGGAAGAAGGTTATAGGCGATGATTGTATGGTTCAGAAGATTGGTGATATTCAGCATAATCCAGGTATGGGTAATCTTGATTATTCGGCTTCGGACAATATTAGTCTGAGGGTGAAGAGTTATTCGGGTGTTCTTGATATGTTCGGAGGACGTATTATTGATACTGAGTTGAATTTGGTGGGAGGTCAGAAGAATTGTGATGTGGTGGATCACTCAATGACTCAGGTGAATTTTGTAAGCCTAATGAATAAGGAAAGTGATTACTCTGAGCAGAATGGCGTTGGGGAAGTTGTGGATGCTTGGCTGAAAATGAAGCCTATCAAAATTTCGATCAACAAAGAATAGGTTGATTTCTCTGAATATGGGGTTGCGGTCAAGTTGAATGCGGAGAAGGAGGCAGAGAACTCTAGAATTTTAAAAAACTCCATTGTGATTAAAGTTTTGGGGAATAACGTGCCATTCTCGGTTTGCAGTTTAGAACTGAGAAGACAGTGGAGCAAATACGGAGGATTTCATTTGACGTCGATCGGGATGAATTGGATTTTGTGTTCATTCTAGACGAGTGAGGTGTTAGATGAAATACTGAATGGAGGCCCGTGGTATGTGAATGGGTTCATTGTGGGAATGGACAAGTGGACGCCTATGTTTGATCCAAATTCTTTTAAGGGAATTTCTGCTCCCATTTGGATTAGACTACCGTGTTTACCTTTGTATTGCTGGGATGAAGATAGTATAGCAAGAATAGCTTCATGTCTTGGTTCGCCAATGTACCTAGATGGCAATATGTTTCATTGGAGCAAACGTGAATTCGCCCGTGTTTGTGTCAGAATTGACTTGGAAAAAAAGCTGCCGAATGGAGTTTGGGTTGAAGGATTAGCTGGGAGGTTTTTTCAAAGGGTGGAATACGAGAAAGTTGATCTTCTCTGCTATCAATGTGGTAAAGTGGGTCATGATTCTAAAATCTGTCCTGATAATATAACTATTGGTATTCAGGATCAAACAAGGAAGAAGACAGGCACAGTAACAGGGGAAGGGGTGAAGTCTGTAGTTGAGAGTAATCCTTCAATAATTAATGCTGAGTATGGGCCGTGGATACATGTCTGGTTCAAAACAAGAAGATTTAGAAGGGATTTGGTGGTTGGAAGAGGTGGGAAGGATAAGAGAAGTGATGCTGAGAAAAGAGACATCAATAGTCGTCAGATGGAGACAATTAAGACAATAACTGAGACTACTAAAATAGTTAAGGAAGCAGAGGTGGTTCCAGTTAAAAGTTCTGGTAATATGGTGGAATCTGTTGCTGAGAGGTGTGAAACTCTTTCCAACAACCGGTTTGTTGTACTTATTGATAAAGATGTTGAGGATGAGAAAGAGCTACATGATGGAAGTGATAAAGCCTTGAATAGAAGTGAGGTTATACCTGAACTTGATGGTAATCATACTGACTTGGGTTCTCAAAGTAGTATGGCCAAGGTAAAGCTAGCTAAAGAATTGAGATCCTTGGGACCGGTTGAGCCCGACCATAAGAAGAAGAAAAAGGTTGGAAGATTGAACCCCAACAGGGGGGAGAGATCTTCATTACCTATTTAATGTCTTCTATTCTATTTTGGAATTGCAGGGGAGCAAGAAAGAAGGAGGCTTCCTTGTATTTGAAAGAAATTGTTAAGGATCATGATGTGTTTTTTGTTGGGCTTATGGAGACAAAGTTATCTAGCATTGATAGAAAGGAGGTTGATTATCTTATAGGGAGTGAGTGGGAGTTTTTTCACTACCCTGCTGTTGGTACATCTGGTGGTATTCTGGTGCTTTGGAATAGCAAGATGGTGACTTTTGATGTTATAGAGGCCACTTCACAGGTGGTCATTGGCAATCTCTTAGTTCCCACCTTAGGAACTTGGAGAATTGCTAGTGTTTATGGTAGTAGGTGCTGCAAGGAGAGGAGTGATCTTCGGATGCAGTTAGAAAAGAGTTTGGTGAATGATATTCCTTTTATTATAGGAGGAGACTTCAATTGTATTACTAATAAAGAGGAGAAGAGAGGAGGAAAGAGGTTCTTGTTCTCTAAAGGACCTAGGGAGATGAAAGGCTTTATGATGAATGCTGATTTTCATGATTTTGGCTATATGGGGCCAAGGTTTACTTTGTGTAACAACAAGGAGGGTGCTTCTCGAATATGGGAAAGGTTGGACAGGTGTATGGCTAATTATGTTGCTATTCAGAAAATTCCTTTAGTGGTTTGGCTTCTGATCATTGTCCAATAGTCATTAAGATGGATGAGAAGGTGCAGCTCAAGTCTAAGATTATCATATTTGAGGATACATGGAGGTCTTATCCTGCAGCCAAGAATATTGTTTTTCATTCTTGGAGCAAGAAGGATTCAGGTGATGAGTTTGTGACCCTACAAAGGAAGCTTAATCGCACTCTAAACGCTTTATTTTTCTGGAATAGGAACAAATATAAAGATTTAAATTTGCTAAAGGATAAGTTGAAAGAAAAAATCCTTGAACTTCAAAACAAGGAAGCATTGGGTATCAATTGGTCGGTTGATGATTTGGTGGTTCTGAGAAATAAAGTCCATGAACTTAATGTCACCTTGAAGAGGCTTTATACTTGGTGGAATCAAAGGGAAAATGCTAGGTGGCATGAGGAAGGTGATACAAATTCCAATTTATTCCATAGCTATGCCACGGCTAGAAGGAAAGGGAACAGGATAACTCAAATCAAAGATGAGCTAAGCAATGTTTTTGATGAAGATGAGCAAATTGAGAAGGTTTTCATCAGTTTTTTTGAAAAAAAGTGGAAATACAGGGAGTGTAAAGTTTCGGGATGGCCTGCAGTTTTTCAAAACCAGAAAATTTCAGTTAATGATTTGGAAGTGATTAATGCAGAATTCTCAGTTGTTGAACTGCATAATTCAGTTTTTCAGCAGGGCAACAACAAGTCTCCCTGGTTAGATGGAGTCACCTATTCCTTCTACAAGAGCTATTGGAGTATTGTGTGGGAGACTCTTTGGAAGGCAGTCAACTGTTTTTTTTAAAACATGTCATATGCATAGGGAGTGGAAGAATACTTTGATTGTTTTGATATCTAAGATTAAAAATCCTATGACCCCTTCTAACTTTAGGCCTATTAGCCTATGCCAAACTAATTACAAGATTGTGGCTACAATGCTAGTTAATAAATTAAAGAAGGTTATATCAAAGATGATTTCAGAAGAATAAGTGGCATTCATTCATGGAAGATCTATTGCGGATCATTGTCTTTTGGCTCAAGAGGTATTTCACAAATTTAGAATTTCTAAGAATAAGAAGGGGTTGATGGCTATCAAACTTGACATGGAGCAAGCATATGATAGTATGGGATGGACATCTCTTCAGCACATTCTTGATTGGTATGGTTTTCCTATTCATTTTTCTAACCTTCTAATGGAGTGTGTTGTAGATGTGAGGTTCTATATAATTATCAATGGGAGGAATTCTAGTTGGATTGATGCTCAAAGTGGGTTCCATCAAGGATGCCCATTGTCACCATATCGTTTCATTCTATGTTCTCAACTCTTGTCCAACTCTATTGTGCAGAGGGGACAGAAACTTGGTATACAAATTTCTCCTAGAGGTCCTCTAGTTACTCATCTCCTTTACGCAGATGATGTGCTAATTTTTTCTCATGCATCCGTGGACTTAGCAAAGAATTTGAAGACTATTGTGGAGGAATTTTGTA